CAGCCGTTTTGAGCTGAGACACAATGTGAGCGGTCACCCGCTTTGAACTGAGACACGAGGTGAGCGGTCAGCCGTTTTGAACTGAGACACGGGGGAGTGGTAAGCCGTTTTGAGCTGAGACACGGGGTAAGTGGTCGGCCGTTTTGAGCTGAGGCACGGGGGGAGTGGTCAGCCGTTTTGAGCTGAGACATGAGGTGAGCGGTCAGCCGTTTTGAACTGAGACACCAGGGAGTGGTCAGCCGTTTTGAGCTGAGACACGAGGTGAGCGGTCAACCGTTTTGAGATGAGACACGGGGTGAGCGGTCAGCCGTTTTGAGCTGAGACAGGAGGCAGTGGTCGGCCGTTTTGAGCTGAGACACGGGGTAAGTGGTAAGCCGTTTTGAGCTGAGACACGGGGGAGTGGTCAGCCGTTTTGAGCTGAGACACGGGGTGAGCGGTCAGCCGTTTTGAGCTGAGACACGGGGTGAGTGGTCGGCCGTTTTGGGCTGAAACACGGGGTGAGTGGTCAGCCGTTTTGAGCTGAGACACGGGGTGAGCGGCCAGCTTTTTTGAGCTGAAACACGATGTGAGCGGTCAGCCGTTTTGAGCTGAGTCACGGGGTGAGCGGTCAGCCGTGCGCATACGTTGTGCACCAAATGATAAACTCTCTTAGGTGAGGTTGATCGCGATCAACATCAACACCACTGATCAGCGCCATAATCATCGAATACCAGGTCATCAGCATGTGTGAAGTCATTGCGAGGTAACATCGCGATGGAGACGCGCAGACTACCAAACGACGGGGGGGGGGGGGGGAGCACACATCTTCACTTCTTGTAGCATCATGGAAGTACCTCCTCGGCGGCGCAATTAGTTCATATGCGTGAAAATATGTGTTTTACATGGGAAATCTTTGGTTCAAGGCCGACTTCGGCACACTTTTCCTTGACCGGCTCCTGCCCTGTAACGCTCTGCGCGTAAGAAGACAAAATTCGACGACCGAGGAGTCCACTTTCGCCATCTCATGACGATGGCCTTGAAATGCGCGAGAGCCTGTCCTACTCGCATGATATTCTGTGTCACATTTACCGCAAGGTTAGTCACATGGGTCATGTGCTAAAATGCAAAACGAAGGTTGTGGATTACATAGCTCATCGGACGTGAAAATCCTAGACGGCTTTAGTGTATCGTTTTTTGTAGAAAACGATAGGCAGAACGCCACACATCACATTAAATTACTCGCGAGGTTTCATTCTGGAGTTCACCACAGCGATAACGAGTTCCAATGTTCTCATTCACTTTACGAGGCACTGTGAGACATCGCCTTAGTTAACTGTGTCGTGAAACATCGCTTTAGTTGACCGTGTCGTGATACATCGCCACAGTTAACTGTGTCGTGAAACGTCGCCTTAGTTAACCGCGTCGTGAAACATCGCTTTAGTTAACCGTGTCTTGATACATCGCCACAGTTAACTGTGCCGCGAAACATCGCCTTAGTTAACCGTGTCGCGAAACATCGCTTTAGTTAATCGTATCGCGATACGTCGCCACAGTTGACTGTGTTGTGAAGCATCGCCATAGTTAGCCGTGTTATGGAGCATCGCCACAGTTAACAGTGTCCTCAAACACCCCTTTAGTTAAGCGTGTCTTTTCAGCTGGTTAGTGCTGCGCATTCCGCCGATCCATTTAGCATACTCGGACCTGCAAACACAGCTCTCGTGTATAGCGCTAACCGGTATCTGCTTCACAGGCAACTCTCGCTCTAGTTCAGCGGGCGCCGTCGGTGACACTGAACACACGGTTGACAGGCGTGGGCTCCAATGCGTCGGTCGGTGCGTTGTCTGCAGGCGAGCACCGCGCTTGAATGTAACCGATGGTTGTGATGGTGGTGGTGCTGATGGCGAGGTGCCGATGGTGCTGAGCTGCCGAGACGGCTAAGCTGGCGGTCGGACGTTGACTGCGCTCTGCGGGCGCTTTGTTCGTTCTGTGGTGAAAACTTTGGTTCTATCGTCGTTATGCTAATGCGCGATTTACATCAGGCTGCCGCTCAAGCCTGTAAGGGCTTTAAGCGGTCTGCGTTCAGGAATATTCACCGCATGTAGTAAATCCGGTGCCTGCCTGTGGCGAAACCAATCCCACACTAGACTGGTTGGGGGAGCCTGCGCGTGATAGGGTTACAGCTTGTGTGGTGCGCCAAAGTACCGAGCCACGGCTGCCAGTTCTGGATGGGCAGAACATTCAACGAGCGCTCTTTAAGCTGGTGTAATGGAAAATCTGGAAAGTGACATAAAATTGCATGTGAATATCATATGCTAATTCCCGATTTGCAAACAGCTCCAGAAGGCCATGAATGTGTGGCAGTGCTGGAATACGATGCGAGTGCGCTGGAAAACTGACGTTCAAAAGACGTTCAGAATTTCACTTTCGTTCCCGAATGATACAACCCTTTCTTGCATTGCAAACACCTTGATAGAAATGTGAATCAACAGGCACAGAAGAGCAAAATGTTATTAACGTGAAATACAAGATCTAAATTTGACAAGATACTGGATAGACAAGACAGTAGTAACAACTCTATTCCTCGGAGAAAAATCAGAGGAAAGAAGATGTAGGTGGGTTAATATTTCAGCAACATGCCTTTATCGAAACAATGGCAGAGGTGAATTCAAAATTGCCTACCGATGATACTACTCGCTTTTTTTGTTTTTTAACAGTAAGCCACAGCTTTTACAGGACACCAAAGAGCGGCTGCCAGTCATTACCCCGATACAGTGCACATATAAGAATTCGAATTCGCGAAAACAAATGTACATGCAAACGAATTCAAGTAAACAGGTATCACGATAGTCTTATCAGCTCTTTAGTTGTAAAATGTGCGTGCAAACGAATGCATGTAAACGGGCATCACGATATTCTTATCAGCTCTTTAGTTGTAAAATGTGCGTGCAAACGAATGCATGTAAACAGGCATCACGATATTCTTATCAGCTCTTTAGTTGTAAAATGTGCGTGCAAACGAATGCATGTAAACAGGCATCACGATATTCTTATCAGCTCTTTAGTTGTAAAATGTGCGTGCAAACGAATGCATGTAAACAGGCATCACGATTCACGCTTCATTCAAACGATGCAAGCGAGTTGAAGTAAACAGGCACCACACATCATGCACCAATTATACATGCAAGTGATTTCAATTGAACAGGCATCGCACGTCACGCGTCAGGCATCTCTTACACATGTATACGATTTCAAGCTAGCCCACATCACACATCAAGGCACATATCACCTTCGCATAACCGGCTATGATGCGCCCTGTACGGTAAGATTTGGTCGCCGACTTTTTATAAGAAAAGGTTCAATTTTTTTTCCTGTCTGGATGGTCCTGTGTTCTGCAAAAGATTTTAAGCTCTGAAAGGGGTATAGGGTCGCTACCTCCCCGGATTTCAGCCTGAGCGTGTTTTGCCAAAATTTTGTCACCGAAAGGGATATTCCCTGTTTTGTTTTTAGCGTCTCGCAGGTGTTCATTACATCTCAAACGAAAGGGGCGCATGGACCCCAGACATAAACTATGTCCCTTCCATGTTTTTCACACAGCTTACACCTGGTCTCGTGAGCCACGTGGTTTTGGCGTGCAAAACCTTTGAAACCCAGGTTTGCATAAATGACATCTATTGCCACCCCGACACTTAGGCTTCGAGAAGGAAGATTTCACCAGAAACTTTTTCAGCTTATTGTCGTTCTTCCAAGCTATGCGCACGGGCAGCTTCGTTTTTTTAACGATGTGTTTGATTTTCCAAAGCAGATGCTCATCTATGTAAGGTAGCGTTAAGAATCCGTCGTCCGATCGGACGTGTTTCCAGCTCCTACCACCCGTCCTCCCGCGAGCTCTAGATTATTTTTACTTCTTTCAATATTGTACTTGAAAGTCGCGGAGAATATCCGTTGCCCAACAGTAAAATCCATATTTTGTTTACCTCCTTTCTTTCCTTTTGCAGTACTTGATGGGTTGTTTAGAGCCCCGTGGAACATGTTACGGATTATGTTGTGCTTAGTGGAATTTTGATGCGCAGATTCGCAGAGCAGAATTAGACCAGAGTTGGTGGGTTTAAGAGCTCCCTTTCTAACAGTATGCGATTGTCCCTCCTTTCCACCAGCACTAGCGTATCCAAAAATGGAACCCCGTTTTCGCCCTCTGTATGTTCCATCGTAAAAACTAGATATGGATGCTGGTTGCTCATGAACTCAGCTCAGAACTGGTTAGGCGCACGCTGTCCGTGCGTCTATACCCCAGCACAATCATCGATGCATCTAGCTAAGAAAATTAGTTTTAATGGACTAGCGGCCGGGGCCCTCGTTTCAAATTCGTCTAAAAATGTAATTGTCAGAGGAGGAGCGCATGGGATCCTCATGCATGGGCTGGTTTTTCTCCAGGGAACAATGCTATTATTACTGTCTTATCTATGTGAATAACGTTCCTCACAAATGCACTGAACAGTTGACAGATACTAAATACCTTTAGACAAAGAATGTCAGCGGCGACAAAGGCTGGATAATCAGCTATGGGATACGCGATGGGTCAAAACGGCAGCCAACGGCCGACAGCCTGGCGGAGGTCCCTCGCCCGACAATATGCCAGTGCGCCGCGGAGCTCGGTCGCCCGTCCTTGTTTGGATAGCTGGGCCCGCCGGCGCCCGGTCACCGCCCGTAATCTCTTTAGCTGCAGCCGCATAATAGCCCGCGGGACCGGCGGCGTGCCCCGTCAGTGCCATCGATTGAGGAGGGCGGTCACAGGGTACCGGGCAGCTCAACACTCGAGAGAGACACCTCCGACGAGCGCCATTGGCCGACGCACCGGGGGCGGAGCTTCGGCGCCGACCTCGTGCCGGCGACCAATCGTCGCGCCGCCTGGCGTGACGTCACAGCAGGGAGCGCTGCGACTCGCGCAGCCGACGTGGCCCTCTTGCGGCCGCCTCCGAATGTTGGTTTAGCCAGGGTCTTGTTTTCAATTCATTTCGCCCAGTCGTCAGTATTGTGCGGGCCGCGCGGAAAAGAAACAGGCTCGGTGTTTTCACAGGGGTATCACTGTAAACTATAGTGCGGCTGGCCATAATACGACTTGAAGAAACCCAATCTAAACTCTCTGGCCATCGACAAATATTTTAATGTTTATTGAATAAATGGGCCGTGTTTTGGTGCTAGTGATCAGCGGTCCCCAGTGGCTCCTCTGGTGCGAATAAGTGTTCACGACGTTTCCAACGGGCCACCGAGTGCCCGTGTGTGCCGCCGGAAGCATGCACACCCTCTTCGGCGCCGACCAGAACGCCTACTACCGACACTCAGGTAGCTATGCCAACTCGCTGCAGCCGATGGCGGCAATGTCGCCGATGACGCCGATGACGTCAAGTGGCTACAGCTATGACCAGTACTCGGTGGCGGCGCGGTACAGCCCGTACGCCACCTCCTACAGCCCGCACCAGATGCCAGTGAAGGACATGGTGAAGCCGCCGTACTCGTACATCGCTCTCATCACCATGGCCATCCAGAGCACGCCAGAGAAGAAGATCACGCTGAGCGGCATCTACCAGTTCATCATGGAGAAGTTCCCCTACTACCGTGAGAACAAGCAGGGCTGGCAGAATTCGATTCGACACAACCTCAGTCTCAATGAGTGCTTCCTGAAGCTGCCACGCGACGATAAGAAGCCGGGTAAGGGCTGCTACTGGGCGCTCGATCCCGATTCCTACAACATGTTCGACAACGGCAGCTACCTGCGCCGGCGGAGGCGCTTCAAGAAGAACCGCGACGGCGCCGGCGCCGACAAGAAGGAGCCCGGCCGCGGCGAGCCCAAGGTCAAGGAGGAGGCGCCCGACGGGAAGGCCGACCCCTGCCGCTCGCCCAAGCCGGCCGAGCCGGCGCTCTGCAAGCTGAAGACGGAGCCGCTGGAGCTGCCGGCGCTACCGTCCGTCAGCCCGACGGCGCCAGGGCGTCGAGGCGCCGGCCGCCGAGCCCGTTTACACCAACATGGACTGCCAGCAGCCGGCGCCGCCACCGCCGCCGCCGCCGCCGGCGGTGCCCACCACCCTGGACCCGGCGCCCTGCTCCAACAACAGCGCCTTCAGCGTCGACTCGCTGATGACGTCACGGTCGTCGCCGGCGCAGCTGGACTCGACGTCGCTGTACACGCCGGCGCGCGGCCTGTACCCGCCGGAGCTGGGCTACGCGCCGCAGTACGCCGACGAGATGGCTTGCATGGCGGCGTCCGGGCAGGGGATGGTGCAGTACGGCGGCCGGCCGGGCGGCTGGTACCCAACCGAGCCGCCGCCACCGCCGCCACCGCCGCCGCCGCCACCGCCTGTCTCCGCCGAGCCCTTCCCGTCCGTACGCGAAATGTTCGAGAGCCACCGACTGATTCCGGGGGCGATGACCTCGTGTCAGGTCACCCAGCCGAGCTCGTCGTGCCAGCTTGGCTTCCGGCCAAGTTCGCCTTACAAGAGCTTCTACCAGGACTGTCCCAAGTACTGACCCGCGCCGCGCCGGTAGGCTGCGGCGACGCCGGAGCCAGTGTCACCGCTCAGGGGGTGGTCGCGAGACGCGTCTGGCGCTGCGTGTTTTCCAGCCCGTCAGCTGACTGAGCGCCGGTGAGTGGCACGTGCTGGTCCACAGCGGGCACCTCCGCTGAGCGGAACGCGGCAGGACGGCGACCCGGCGGCGCTGCGGCTGTAGACGCTGTTTCAGTTGTGGGTGCCGGTGTATTACAGTGTTCGTTGTTGCGTTGTCGTTTATCGACGGGTCTTAGCGGGAGGTCAAGGGCGTGGACAGGATGGGGTGGTGCTGGGAGCAGGAGGAGCGAAATGTTTTGTTCTAGCAATGGTCTCGGGTATTTCGTCCGTGCTCGCGTCGAAGCTGTGCTGTCATTGCTGACAACGACTTTCTTCGGACGATGCATCGATTTCGAGGCCGGTTGAGTGAGTAGCACATGTTTAGGGGATGGATTTGTCTTTCTCTCCGTTTCTAAATGTGTTCTAGCTGTTGCAACAGCTTGCCACTCCAGATCTGCGCAGATCATTGTTTACCAGAGTGGGTGTCGTTCCGACCGTTCAAATCACAAATGCATGGAGCGGCGCATTGTTTGAAATTGCGGCGATTCACTGGTATCTACATTCTCACTTTGATAGCCGATTGTGATTGACAGTAGAAAACTGTAAAGGTTTTTTCTCGGAGCCGATGTTTTTAGTGGTACTTATGCCAATAATGTACTGAGCCGTTCTTTTGACATAAGCGACGCGTCAATGGCTTGCCATTTTTGGTAATCCATACCAGCAAGTGAAAACAGCTACCCACGATTTGCCGCGGTCCACAACATGTAGATACACCCGTCAATCGTCGCAATCCACGGAACGTTCAACGATTTCATCTGTCCGTTGTTCTATGTGGTGTACGGTTTTGTGGTTTCAACTACTGTGTGCGCGTAGAATGCTCCGTTTGGTTGTTATTGCTGATTAATCTTTATACATGGAGTTTTATTAGGCGCCGTATATGCTGGCGCCCGTGCATTGTGTCTTCTGTTGTACTCCTATAGTTTTGTTGGATAATATTTTGATTGGTCTTAGTGTTCAGTCTTGAAATGCTCGCTCCCTGGCCACAGCAACATTGTCTCTGGTCACAGTAAGGCAGACTACGATCCGGATTACTATCTGACTGCTCTGTTACGCCTTGTTAGCGGCGCCCAGCGGCGCAGGTCCACTCCATTGCCTGTGGTGACCCGTGCGACGCCGGCACCCCGGCACGCTCCATTCGCCAGTTCTCTGAGCGCCGGCTGTTAGCGGAACAACCGCCCGTGCTCTGTTTGCCAGGGTCTCGCGCCACCAGAATGCCCGGTTTAAGTGGTGCACGGAATCTCACTGTATACCGCCACCTAGATACCTTCCAGATGTGAACAGGGTCGAACTACGAGAACGCTGAATGAATCGGTAGGCGCGGCTCGCCTGCCGCGCAGCTGCAGTAGACCAGCCGATCTTGGTGTGTTTACTAGTCAGATTGAGTTTGACGTTGAGGAATAATGTAAATAGGTACGTGTAAATTGCGCCGGCACAATAAAATGAGAAACGTGCGTTGTGCTGTGTGTGTATGCGCGCGCGGCGGCGTCCAGCGACCGCGCCGTCTCGCCAGAATGAGCGCTGCTGCGCGTGACGGCCGCGTCCAGTGACCGCGCCGTCTCGCCAGAACGAGCGCTGCTGCGCGTGACGGCGGCGTCCAGTGACTGCGCTGACTCGTCCGGACGAGCGCTGGACGAGCGCCCGTCCGGTGCCGGCTGGCCATCCCCGGCTGCAGGGGACGAGCCGGCTCTTGCGGCCGAGCACTGGCTGGCTCCGCGGCTCAGCCGGAGTGTTCAGCCGGCGCGCCCCGGGCGGACGGAGCGGTCTCGTGGCCCATAGGGCGCCCACCAGCGGCGGGTGGAGCTCTCTACCGACGGCAGCCGGCACCTCCGGCTGGCCAGGCGGCCCGATCAACCGCAAGAAAGGTCAGGTCATGTCAAGTCATCAGCTGGAAGCTACCCAAACTGCTCTGCTTGCATTGGCGCGTATGTCAGGAAGGCGCCGTGACGCCTAAATTTTAATAGAAGAGAAGACGGGGTGTCATGAGTAGCTTTGTACGTTCGTTTGCTCTCACAGGTCAGCGTCTGAAGATTTAAGATGCGCCCGGGTGGACGGCTAGATACCCTTCGCTCGGGTGGGGAGTCAATTTGACCCCTCCCCTGAGATCTCGGGAACTAAGAAAGCTAGAGACACCAAATTTACAGTGTATCTTGACCTGTACGTTAACTCACTTAGGTCAAAGTTTGAGCTTCCTAGGTCATGATCTTCAGGTCAAATGAGGTCAAACAAGGTCAAATTTCAGGTTGGTCTCCAAAGTGCCCCCAGAGCCTAGGCAACTGTTTCTAAGCAAAAGGTCACAAGCCCATTTGAGATCGGTAATCTTGTTTGTCCTTTGGAAGGGCATGGCGACTAAAATCATACAAGACTGCTCTGAGTTTTGCATTTGAATAAGCGACAAAGATTACCCTAGGCAGTATGCTCCTAAAACAAAATGTCGACCCGGGTCATCTTAGGTCAATGACCTGTTCTGATCTCTAGGAAGTCAATGGAAGGTGTATATTGCGGCTCCTGCTGTCAATAAATTCGAAATGAGCACCAGAAACTATCCCATACAGCAAGCCCTAGAGTAATAAATCATTTTGGTTTTGACCTTGACATTCATAACTGACCTTAGGTCAACGTTATTTGCTCATTCAATATTTGTGTTACCTAAGAAAGCATCTCAGAGATGTACGTCTTCGTCAAATACTCCGTTATTGTATCAGAATGGACGATTCCCTAGAAATCGCCTTCGCGGAAACCGTGGCCGACCTTGACCTGCCATAGGTCAACGACCTTGCAAGGTGCATCTAAATTTGTTATGCCCAACGATCCGCTGTTCAATTATCTACAGCTATGCAAAATTTGGCGCAGCTACGCCGCGCCGTTCGGGAACCATTCTGTAAAAACCTTCGGGGGGGAGGTCAATCTGATCCCCCCACCCGAGCGCGTGTTAATATGTACAGTCGTTTTTACTGAAGACGTCGTTGGGGTAGGGAGATGAACAAGGTTTTTTCGTGTCAATTTCTCATCACTTCATCAAACAGTGGCCAAAGGACCCAGTTTGTTGTTTGAAAGGAGAAAGAGAATGTTTTTAGTGTTAGAATGCTGAAACATTTCTTGCGAGCTCTGTTTGGGCACCCTGTTAAAGGATGACTTAAGCAGTTCCCCCCCCCCCGGCTTTTGTTCCGATACAGCGCTGTAAGGTCACTAGCGGACCATAACCAAGTGATCTAAATCTATGGACGCAAAGCACGTGCGAAAATAATTGGTGAAAATAGGAAAAATCGTACACAACATGTGATGGATAACTGAGCATTCGTTTGCTCAGTTCGGTGTCTCCAGTCTCCAACAATATGCCGTAGGAAGTGCGCACAAACCAGAGACGGGCCTGTCCAACTGACCGCTACTTACCGAATTGTCTATAGACTTAGCGGTCGAAGTGGGCCTGGATGGCCGGAATGCACCGTTGAGATTTTGTCCTGATCGTTGATGACCTCGTGCTCCATTTCTGCTGAAGCCTCAACAGGTACACACAACCTTCAAAATATTTGATGAAAATCATGAAAAGGGTGAGCTTTCGTGACTTTTCGTGAGCCCTGGTGCGGTAACCGAACCACAAATGTCATCCTGAGGCTGTTGCTATCGAATAGTTCATTATTTGTCTACAAAATATGACCACTCCTGATAATTGTGACACAACTTGTCGTTACTGCATTCAAATCGCACATTTATTACATCTATACAAGTAAACTTTCACTAGTTATTTTGATTTTATATCTCGACAGTCCGGACTTCGGTCTCATATAGCTACATCTACCTCCTTTGAAGGGAGTGTCCCACCCTTGGGCATGTTTCAGAAAGCATGTCTGGGGTTGAAGCTCTCGTAATATTGATTCCACAAAGATTGCTACACGTCGGTGTGTTGCAAAGATCACAACACTCTCACACACGTTGGAAGAAGCAATGCAAATGATATGCATTACGATCATAGTAGTGAGCAGCGAGTCAGATAAAATTATCCCGCTGGGTCGGCTACTTAACATCGAAATTCTGAAGCCTTTAGCTGGATTTCGAGCAATGTGGTATAACTCATTAAATCGTACATGTCCGATTTAAGAAAAAGTGAAAAATGCAAAAGCGATACTATCTCTAATGCTGTTTTTTATTAAGGGATAGTGCTTTCCGCTTCTGGTTAAAACATCTTGAAGATGGCACGTCGAAAATATATATGCACGCACAGCAAGGTGGTGTGTCTTTGTGGTTGGTAAGGAGTGATGTGTATTATATCTGTGATTATGTGATGAACAGATTTTGACGCGAAGCGAATTGCGTTCTGTCTAGAATGCGGTGTCACAAACTAAGGGCTCTGGACCTGACCGTCATGGGTTCGGGTCCTTGCAGCGCGATACCGTATCTCACACGGCATACCCATTAAAGGTATTCGGTCTCGAAATGGCCCCGGTAGTCGGCGATGCTTAAAGCCCCAACGATTATAAGCAAGCATGGCTTTTTGACAGCATCCAAGCTGCTTTGGAATACAAGACGTATTATCGCCGGCTGAAGATCGCCAGTTTTCCGGATCACGTGTCACGTGACCTTTATGTATTGACGGTTCAAATATACTGAACGTTGCAGTTCTTCCGTGACAAACGATACCACAAAGTGTCAGAAGCCTATCATACAGACGGTAAGGCTCTTGCGGCTGTTTGGAAGTTCATGGAGGTTCGAAATTGCATGACAGTTCACACCCTGAATGTAGGTTGATAGAGCAGCTTGCGTTCATACAGGGCAAAACTTGATGGAGGAGAAAATCTTATCGAGGAAAAAAGTTCGTCGTGCTCGAGTTGGTGTGGCGAAAAAGTTGGTCCAGGGCAGAATCTCGTCAAGGACAAAACTTTGACGTGCAAAAGTCGTGGACAAAAGCTCGCGAAGGATACAAGTTTGTCGAGAGTAAAAGACCATCGGGGTAAATTAATTGCGTGGAGCAAAAGTTCGTTTGATAAAAAAAATTAAGGTGGAAAAAAGTAACAAGGGGGCTCTGGTTGCGTGAAGCTGAAAATCATATGTCAAGCTATTATCTAAGCGATGGCAGACGCGTCAGCAAAAGAAACTAGCGCGTCCCAACTGAAGCGGTTACGAATACATTTGAAATCGTCGCCCACACTGCCGACCTCACAGTCTGTGAATGAAATTGAGGATGGTATTGGTGTGAGTCTGGATGCACCAACCGAAGGTCTAAACCATGGCAAAGGTTTCCCCCAGATAAGCTTTTGTGCTTCTCAAACCTTTGCCCCAAACAATCCTTTGCTTTGGTAGCATCGTGCTTAATTCCAGCGGAACCTATTTCGATTCGGGAGTCATTGGCAAAGTTGCTTTCAGTTCAAAAAGCCAACTGGAATCAGAACAAGAATTGTCTCTAGTTCGAAAAGCCTGTTCGGATCGAACTTGTATTGGATTCGTAGTTCAGGTACAGATTGTATCAAGCTGGAATCGAGTCTCAAGGATAAGTCTAGGGTGCAGAAATTTATTGCGCAATATTGAAAAAAACAAACCTTTATGCTCCACTCCCAAGTTGCATTGCGTGGACCAGAATTGGCATCGTCTGAGCATGACAATATTCGTTATTTGGCATAGCTTACCATGAGACATGAAATAAGAGGAGTGTAACTTTTAAGTGGGACCAGATCAAGGATGAATGTCAACTGAAATCAATACCGATTCTAGAATCGATTCCGAATTACGGTATAATCGGCGGAATCCATTCCAGATGAAACGATACTGGAATCAGAATACATAATTGCCCTTGGTTTAAAAAGCCCATTTGTAGCCAACACCTTGCTACACATTCGACTCAAATTAAATTGTTTGAGACTAGAAGCGAGGGCAAGTCGGCACCATCAACAAAGCTTTGTTACAAGAACTTTTGCCCGATACGAACTTCTGCGATAGAGGCCTTTCTCCTAGGCTTAGTTTTAGACTAGACGAACTTTTGTTCCATATTAAATTGTCCCGTGCACAATTTTGTCATTTCAGCTCTTGCAAATATTTTTTGCATTATGTAAGAATCTGTGATACCAACCTTTGTCGCAGACGAACTTCTCTGGTACAATTTTTCTCTTTTGGAACTATTGCGATATAAGCTTTGTATTAAACAAGCTTTTGTCCCACACAAAGCTTGTGCTGGTCATGTCCAATGCTAACAAGGTTTTTTTAGGCAAAATTTTTCTATGAAAAAATGCTGTCTAAACCAATTTTGTCAATGCAAAATATTGCTCGACAAACTACTGTCATGAAACCTTGATCGGATGTACTTCCGTCGGAAAGCCCAAAATAAATAAGACAAGGTTCTCTTCATCACAAGTTTAAAACGTCATCTTGAAACTTTTCGTGATCTTACCACGTATGTCACAATCATGTTATGTCATGTCACCCAGGTCAACAAACGGGTTTGACTGCACGTTTGGCGGCTGCG